TTGCTTTGTGAAGCCTTAGCAGATCCATTCTCCATCTCACAGGAGACGGACTTCAAGGTGCCTGAAGTCTCATGCTGTTCTGAGATCTTGTGTTGGAGTCATCAATTTATCTTACTTTCTGTGTCTTTCTAATATGTCCATTTTTCACTCCTCCTATAATTCCTCTGAACCTGTTGTCTCTCTTAGCAAGTCTTTTCAATGGACCAATTACTGGAAGCAGGGAGCCTCTAATTCCTGTGAGCTTAGACAGTGAGATCCTTATTACACCTAATAAGAGTTAACTGGTCCATTTCACACAAACTGTCTTCCTGTATGGAAATGAAATATAAAGCACTAAAAACGAGTGGCGTAGGCTGGAGGAAAGTTGTTCAAAGGCAATGCTGGTGCACGTGGGGACTGTGTCTTGACCAACATCATCCTCCAAAAGCCAGAGTAGTTTCAACCTTCCACACCATCTTTCCCTAAATATTTCAGCCTTTCACAGCAGGTGGTCCCTCATAATGTTTTTGCTTTATTGTCCCTGTGATCAAATACCTTATAGAAGCAACTTAAGGGGAAAGGCTTGCTTTTGCTAGTGGTTTCAAATGCTTCAATCAATGATGCTAGGTAACGCAGATGTCTCCCAAGACCCACAGCACATACCATGGTAGATAGGGAACATGGTAGATCCTTAACAGGAATGGGCCAGTCTTATGCCACAAGGACACACCCCCAGTGACCTACTTCCTTGAACTAGGCTCTCCACTTTCTAAAGTTCTACTCCCTGCCAAACTAAGGTTAGAATTCATGATCTAATTATATCTGGAAAGGTCTACTTCCTTGTTGTTCTAGGCATTTCACATTCAAATCAAGTTGACATAGGGCCTAGCCTTTTGTCTTTAACAGCCATGCTGCTTCCTCACTTAGGCTCTCATACCCATCCTTTATCTGTCAGTCTCTGACTTCTTCAGGAGACTGAGTGAAGATGGCTGCTTACTAACCGCTGTTGTTACCTGGGATGCCTAACTTCAGCTGAACTTCCTCCTGACAGCTCTATGTCTTAACGAACCAGAAAGATGGGCATCCATAGAACATCTTCTTTGCTTTGCACACATATGGAGGGTAGATACCATTTCAAATGCCGGGGCCCTAATCCGTGGCAAGATGCAAGCACAGTTGGCAACTATGAGATGAGGACGCAGAGTTCATATGCCTAGAATTTCTATTCCCACTCCTTTTGCAGGGCCGGGGACTCTTTACAGAGTCCAGGTCTATGTGGACTTCGGGCTCCTTGGCCACTAGGTTCAGGGTGCTTCAATGGATGCTTGCTCTTCCTCTGTTCATCATGTTTCCCTCACAGTGGAGGCTGGACTCTTTGCTCCCACACCACTGCAGTATAAACAAAAGCTGGTACCTTAAAGGAAATGAGAAGATGAACAAATGGACTGTTATAGCAGCTGGAATCTCAAGGCCTAATATCTGGAAGGATCTGTAGAGCTATCAGATATATAAGACACAGTGAGAGACAGCTGCCTCTGCCTGGAGGAGTCTGGAGAAACCTGTGTCTCCCAAACTTTGGACTACTGGTGTAACTCGGCAGAGAACAGTAGTGAGGAGAAATGTCAAGGTGTCCTCTGAGGCTCCAACACCCAGAGGGACTTTGGTAGAGGTTTCTGTTAGAGTAGCGCTTCCCAACCTGAGTAGCGCTTCCCAACCTGGGGGTCCAATCCCTTGGAGGTCAAACAACCCTTTCACAAGGGTTGTGCATTAGATATCCTGCAGTTCAGATATTTACATTATGATTCATGATAGTAGCAAAACTAGTTCTGAAGTAGCATACCGGCAAAAATAATTTTATGGTTGGGGCCACCACAATTTGAGGAACTGTATTAAAGGGTTGCAGCATCAGGAAGGTTGGGAACCACTGTGCTAGAGTCAAGGCTGGAGAATGAAGATCTTGACCTTTCTTTCCTATCTCTGTAGTAAACTTTAGGGAGAGAATCTTCTGCCCTCTCCGAATCCACCCACATTCCCCACTTTGAACTACTCTGCTACCTCAGTGAGGGAGACCCAGCTCCTTCTCTACTTTTAGCAAGTTCTACACTAAGGAGACAGAGACAGCCCTTGCCTTCAAGGAGTTCAAAGTTCAACGAGGAGGCAGATGCCCTATGCTAAGGAAGTAGTATGTTTAGTCTGTTGGGTTGCATGGGTTTCTCTTCGCCGTACCTGGATACTAGAAGACCCAGGCTGGGAGACTCAGATAACCCGCTGAGACAGAACTGTGAGCCTTGGTATCACAGAGATGAAAATGAAGCTTCAGTAGGATTGGCCTGGGCAGAGGAGATGAAATGAGATTGGTAATCTCATAGTATATTAGCAGAGAGAGAGAAGAGGGCTGGGGATGTGCAAGTGCACTGGCAGCGGTGCCTGGGAAAGCAAGAGTGTTTGGCTCCATAATGCTCAAGTTACATGGGAGTATGTCTGAAACTAGCGATGCTTGGGTGGCATGCCAGAACAACCTATCTGTTTAGGAAAGCCCATCAGGAGACCCTAGCCTGGTGTTGGGGATTGCTAGCAAAGGGCAACAGGCTTCCGGATCTGGGATGCTGAGTAGCTTGTAGAAGTCTAGCCATGAGAGCTTCTTTCATGCTACTTGGTGGAGATTTGTGTTTAAAGGGAGAGGGCCTAGGGAAGAGAGCTCTTTGGCTGCTGGGGACATCTTCCCAACATTTTCTTTTATCACTGCTTCCTGGCCCCTCCATACCATGCACTCACTCATAATAAAAGGGGAAAGGCTGTTCATTTCCAGAATTCCCTGACCAGAGGAACTTGGTCTGTGCCTGCCCACTCGCTATGTTCTGTCCTCAGATGCCTGCAGAGACGAATCTCCAGTCTTACCCCAGGAAGACAGCTCCTTTCTCCCTTCTCTATTTTGTTTTGTCACCTATGACATTAACCCTAACCTAGTAATTGTAATGTTTTGGATCCCTCCTCCCCAAATGACATGCTTTTTCTGTGGCAGGATGTCATTATTTAGGCTGGGTTCTCCTTGAACTTACAGTCCGGTTATTTGTTTTGTTTTAAGACAGGCTTTCATTTAAGCCCTGGCTATCCTGGAGCGTCCTAGGTAGACCAGGCTGGCCTCCATCCACAGAGTTAGATCCGCCTCTACTTCTCAAGTACTGGGATTAATGGTGTGAACCATGATGTCCAGTCCATTCTCCACCTTTGTCTCCTGAGCTAGGATTATAGACATGTGCCACTATACCCAGATTTTATTTATTTATTTACTTACTTATTTACTTATGTAACTGTATTCTGAAAGCCTAGTTTTGTGACTGTACCTTATTAAGCACAAAAGAACCATCTGTTGAATGACAAGTTAATTAATGTGAATGAATAAATGAAAAACTCTAACATGTCCAAGTGCTGGCATGAATTTTATGGGTTTGTGTCTCTGTGTGTGATGGTAGTCTTAATCTCTGAACTAGCCATCCGTTTTTAAATTGTGGTTTAGTCTATGCATGCAAATGTTTTTTCTTGTTTTTTATGTTTGTTTATTTGTTTGTTTCGAGATAGGGTTTCTCTGTGACTTTGGAGGCTGTCCTGGAATTAGCTTTGTAGACCAAGCTGGTCTTGAACTTACTGAGATCCACCTGCCTTTGCCTCCGGAGTACTGGGATTAAAGACATGTGCCACCACCGCCCAGCGCAAGTATTCTTTTCAACATAACAAAATTCTCTGAGTCCTTGAATAATATGCTTTCTAATGTGAGCTTTTTAGTTTCTGGTTTTGTTTTGTTTACTGTGTTCTGTGTCCTCTACTTGTGTGTGGTTGTGTCTGGATCACTCAGCCTGTCAAGGTTTTTGGAGGAACTGTGTCCATCTCTTATCAGCAGAGGGCACTAGAGCTATGCGCCTTAGTTCCGGGCCTCAACATCAAGCTGTCTTAGCCAGGAGCTTTAAGGGACTCAGGCGATCTAGAATCTAAGGAAGAGGTGAAGACCTCTCTCCAGTTCAACATCACTGGAAAGTTGTGCAATTCCTGTGACTTTTATATTATTTTCCCCGTATCCATTCTCTAGGGCCCAGGCTTCAGTCAGTCTCAGCAGCCCAGGGAGCAGAATTTATTTAGGGATTGGGGGCGGGGGGGGGGCGGAGATGGCTACTATACTGGGTTCTTGACTGGACCATCCATCCAAATGCCCTTCCACTTCGGTTCTCCATCTCTCCACCCCAGTGCACCTCAAGCCCCCGAGTGCTTAGAGATCGTTCCTTGCCTGCCTTCTATGACAAGCCTTCAGGGACGCAGAAGAGAAAGCCAGAGAGTTGGTTGGCTTTCCCTCCGGATGGATAGATGTCTGGGATGAACAAAGGAAGAGTTGACTGCGCCTCTTCGTGGCTGCTGAGGACTCCAAGGCTGAGGCGGGCCTCAACGTGGCTGGCTGAAGCCCTCAGAAGGGACTAAAGGCAGATTCAAGATTTTCCCAGTCTGAGGTTTGTGGGTTGGAAGAGCTTCTCCCCTTTCCAACATTCTCTAGTTAATCCAGAATTCTTAATTTAGGCATCTAGGGTTAGATTCTGGGGTGTAGGATCAGGACGAAAAAGATCTTAAAGCTTTTAGACTCTCCCCACACACCCCAAAACACGAGCATACCCCTCCCAACAGAGTCGCCCAATTGATTGGGGTTCGTCCTCAGCCCAGGCTGCCACCCTATGCCCGGCTCAGTTATGCCACTGGGGGCAAAAGTAGGTCTCGGCACCGGAGGGGCGCGGATGGACTGGGGCCCAGCGGTCTTTGCTTCAGAGCCTGCGACGCCGCGTTCTCCCCACCCCTCCCCACCCCTTGCCTCTGCCCTCAATTCCTTTCTCTTTGCTCTCCTCCCATCTCGGTTCCGCGAGCGGAGCGAGTGTGTGCGCGCGCGTTGGGGGACCAGGGGAGGGCAGTGGAGGGAGGCGCCGTCGGAGGGAGAGCAGACGTCAGGAAGAGGGAGGGAGCCGGGGAGGGAAGAGAGGGAGAGAGAAAGAGAGAGAGAGAGAGCGGCGCGGAGGTTGAGAGAGGCCCCGGGAGATAAAGCTGGAGGGCAGAAATTATTAGGGGGCGCGGGACGAGAGGAGGGGCCAGGGGAGCGAGCCCGCAGCGAGAGAAGCAAGCGAGTGTGCGCCGAGTGTGCAAGGGCGGGAGGGAGGAGAGAGAGCCGGCGGCCGGGATCGCGCCGACTCGGGCCCAGCGGCGGGCGGACAGCATGCTGAGCCTCCTCATCTGGATCCTCACTCTCTCCGACACTTTCTCGCAAGGTAAGCCCCAGCCGCGGGCCGGGGAGTCCTGGGAAGGGGCACGGAGTCACCCGGAGAACACCCGAGGAGTTCTTAATGAAACGGCCCAACTTGCTTCCTCCGGCTGCGCGGGAGAACAGAGAACTTAGGTCTCGAAAGCCGAGATCCGAGTAGAAATGGGACCCGAGTGCTCAAAGTCTTTCCTCCCAGTCCCTGGCAGTTCTCACTCCCTCCACCTCCTGGGCCCAGGGCCGGACTCCTGGGTCCTGGCCAAGAGAAAGGCTGGGAAGAGGTGGGATTTCAAATCTGGGGTGTGGAGTGCGTGGAAAGCAGGGACGCAGGCTCCAAAGATGAGGGTGAGGGATCCTGCTACCCCAGTCCAGCCTAGAGTCACCTTCATCTGAGGTCCGGCTGCAAACTGCTTGGGGTTGCCCCTCAAAGGAAGGCTGCATTCGCCCCCCCCCCCACGAGACTGTGAGTGAGAGGTAGAAATCCAGATACCAGGGCTGTTTGGATTCCTCAGGAAAACGGGAGTTGATCGGACCAGGCACTCACTACAGGTCAGGAAAGTGCAGATATCTAGGGTTCCTTTGGAACTGGCAGGGCAGAGGTTGGAAGTAAACAGGGGAAGAGAGATGCGGGTGTTCAGGTACACTGGTCTGGTACACTGTGAAGTAAGCAAGGATCTAAACCCCAGCCAGGCCTGGGGTCCATGGGAAAGGGTCTTGTCTCCTGAGACAGATTTCAAGGAAGATTTAATACTGTTGGGCTCCTCCCCTGAACTGGAACACAGAAATTCACACAGCAATAGCTTCAAACAGAGGCACTGAGACAGACTACTCACCTATGGAGACATCCCCACAAACATCCCCCACACAGAGACAGACATATACACAAAGACATTGATTGACACCTCTGAAGAAGGAAGATTCCTCTTCCAAGCCGACACACACTTACCTAGTCCTACACCAGGCATCAAACTTACACTGTATATGCATGTGTGCTATGTTGAAAGGACATAACATCCATCACACAGAATTGCTTCCACATACCCCAGCCATGGAGCAAACAAAGAAACTTGGGCAGACATTCTTATAGGCAGGCGCCTACAGAGATGTACAGTCTTCAAAATGGAGGAGGTGGTCTCTCATTGGGGTGAGTGAGTGATCTGGGAAGAGGGAAGCCGCCAATGGAAAGGGCCTCAGGCATTGGCTAGCTCCTTTCCTCTCCTGAATTGTGTGTGTGTGTGTGTGTGTGTGTGTGTGTGTGTGTGTGGTGTATAGGGGGTGTAGTGTTTTACTGGACCCCTCCTCTCTTTGCTAGCCCTCTCCTCCAGCTCTGAAAGCAAACCTGCCTTAGGTCTGGGGTCTTGATTCACCTTTCTTCACCAGAGCCCCAGGACCCTCTTAGAACATGGGAAGGCACACATCCACAGAATGAGAGCAGGAGTGGAGCTGGAGGAAAAAGAAGGCCTGGCCTCAGGGTTGGCCACTTGGCAGAAAGTTGGGAAGATAAGTTAAGTTCTGACACTGTTAGAAAGGGGGAGAGGGGAGAGCGTGGTGGGGGAGGGGCGGCAGTGTCAGTTCTGATGTGCTGGGAGAAGGCTTCTCTGCCTGCTCCTCTCTTGCAGCCCTCCAATGTCAGTGAAATAAAATGAGCTTTAAGAAACAGAAGCTGCAGTTAGGAAACAGGAGAGAGATGCAGCTTGAACCCGAACTGATGGAAGATCAGAAAAAAAAGATGCTTGCCATGTACCTCTCCATCTTTGTGGGTGGGTGTGGCTCAGGGAATGCAACTGAACCCCAGCCTTCTGGACTCTGTCAGGCGTGAAAGCAAGAACTGCAAAAGGGTGCAGCCAGATGTATTTTGGGGTCACGGGGAGGAAAGCAAAGGGAGAGAGGAGCCAGGAGGGAGAGGAAATCACTACTGAGTCTTCAGGGACACTCGGCCCGGGGCTGGGGACCTGGGGACACTGATAAGAGCACCCTGTGGTTAGCAGTGAGTTGAAGGCAGAGGAATGATGGTGAAAAGTGGTCAGAGGAGCAAGAAAACTGAGGACAGAGAAGAGCTAGGAGCGGAAAATTCAGCCTAGCTGAGAAACAAAATTCATCTTTTAAAGGATTTCAATGGACTTCATCTATTTTCATTTTTTACTAAATAATTTTCTGTATCTTATCTAAATGAAAACCATTATCTCCCCCCCTCCCCCGCTGCTGTGTCCATCATATCCCAGCTCCCCAGACTGATTAGGCTGAAAATTGAAATATTTATTCATTTTCTAAGAGATTTTTCTCCCTCCCTAGTCTCAGAGAGGAGAAATTGAAAGGGAAGGATTGTAGTTAATCAGAGCAATGTGGGATGACAGGGTGACTCCAGTGGGAGCTGCCTCCAGAGTCTGGTGGCTCTGACTGTAGGAGGAAAATCTGTTCCTCTGGCACCCCCCCCCAAAGCTGCTCCTGCCTGTTCCGCCTTTGCTCCAAGGAGACTAAGGGGTAAAACAAAGAGGCCCAAGGGCCTCCTATGTTTCTAGCATTTAGCTCCCTGTGCACAGTTATATCCTGGCAGAGAATGGTGAGCCTGGATTCTACAGCTCTGTTCTGCACACACATGCATGCCACACACTCCAAATGCCCTACTTCTGCCCAAAGCTGGGGTAGAGGTAGGGGAAGCTGGCAGAAATCAAGCTATTAGGGCCGCCCCTGACTTTGACTGGACTCTATCTTCAGCCTTATACTGAAACTCAGAGGGAGACGTGAAGCCAGTACTGGGTACCACAGGGATGCATCTTCAACACCCAGGCAGGGCAGGAGGGGGGTCTGGGGATGGCACCCAGTTCTTCCAGTCTTTGTTCTTTATTGCCACTGGGTGGCTGGCTGGCCTCAGTTTGCCTTTGCAGTGGGGTAGGATGATGAAGCCCCTTACCCATGCTTACAGAGAACTGCACTCTGAGGAAGCCTCCCTCCCTTAAGATCCCTTGAGGCCAGGGTTTCCCTTCTCTTAACTACAACATGGCCTGGTGCTGTGCATATAGTCAGTGCCCCTTAGTACCTGATTGACCAGTGAGCTGCAGTGCAGGAGGGAGGTCACATTAGATGATGATGACATCACAGTCTCAGCCCGGTATGCCTGGAATCCTAGTTTTCAAGAGGCTGAGGCAAGAGGACAGTGAGTTCAAGGCCAACTTGGACTACACATATCAAGTTTCAGGCCAGTCAAGGCTGAACTGTAAGTCCCCAATAAATAAATAAATAAATAACATGTATAAAAATAAATAAATAAATAAATAGAAGTCAGAGGCCTCCATTCAACTCTCCGGTGTTGGTAGTCTGAATAGGTTATGTGCTCATTAGGTGCTCTGGTTCAGTTGTATGCAAAATGGTGATGATATATATGTTAATCCATGGATTGTCACATATATTAATCTAGGGAACGTGCATGGAGTGGTGTCTGGCATAGAAGTACTCAGTGGCTGTGTTATGACTTTGTGTCTGAATGTAAGTGGACAGATGTTGAGTTGCCTGTCCCTTCTATTTTCCTAATTAAGGGTCTCTTTGTTTTCTGGTTCAAATCCCTCTGGTCTTGGTCCTTGGCTTCAGTTAACCAGTGATTCCCCCTCTCTTAGAGAGAACCTGGCTCAGGTAGACCTGAAAGACACAATTCGGCTTCCACCTGGTTGTGCTCTCAGAAAAGGTCAGCAGAAGGGGCATGAGGGGAGAGCAAAGTGGAAAAGTCAGCTTTTGGGTGAAGTGAGAAGTGGTTTTTCAGTGTGAGAACTAACACAGCTCATTTAGTGAGATCTCATGTTAATGACTTTACATGCATGTTAACTTAAGCCCTGCACAGTCCCCTGAGTTAGGCTGGGTAATTAATTCCTTTTTCCTGGATGGGAAACTGAGTTCAGATATGTAGGTAGGCCGTTGTAGGAACCAACTGATGATTCCAAAGCCTGCACTATTCTCCTCTGCCAGAGACCCCTCAGCTAGCAGGGCCTGGAACTGGGCTGGGGCACTATTTTGTTGTTGTTCTGTTCCATGGTAGAATAAGTGTGGAGAAGAGGATGGATTGTTCCATCAAGATAGTAAGTAGCCTTTAAACTTTAAAAAAAAACAGTCTTTTCTTTTGAGATTCTGCCCTATATTTTTGGGTTACTCTTTCTTTTTGATATGGCAATCTCTTGGTTATTTGTTAAAAAAGGCTTTACTTGCCAAATATGATTTATGCTCTTGTATTTGTTTCTTATATGAAACCTAGCCTTTCTAATCCATGGCTTTATACCTGAGGACCCTCCACCCCACCCAACTCTGTAGAGTCTGAAGAGTCATGCAAGGGCTGATACACTCAATGGAGTCTGGGGACAACTTGTGCTCTCTCTCCTTTAGCCTCCATTCTAGGCACAGGAGGGTTGTAGGCTCATCAGGGCTATAGACACAGTAGGGTTATAGGCACAGTAGGGTTGTAGGCACAGAAGGGTTGTAAACTCATTGGGGTTATAGACACAGTAGGGCTGTAGGCACAGTAGGAGGTGAAAATTTAGGTGTCTCATTGAGCTCACCTGGAGGTGCTCAGCTTTGCTTTTTAGTTGATTTTCTCAGGATCTGGCTGGCCTAAGGTACTGAAAGGGATCATGGGAGGTCGGTAACATACCAAGGTGTCAGCATTACCTTTCAGTGAGTTCCTGCTGTGTGCTTTTCAAAATTGATGTTCCTGCCATTTCATAGATAAGAAAACCAAAATTGAGAGGTTAAACAACTCACTGAGGGCCATCTCTGGAGTGTTAACACCCTGATCCAAGTCCTTTTATGTCACTACAAAGCTTATCTGTGTTGGCAACCTCTATTAGACAGCAGGAGGACCTAGGTCTGCTGTCTTGTTCCATACGACAGTCATCTGAGATAGGCAGTGTAATTATACGTAGTTCCTCAGCTAGGAATGCTAGGCTACCCATAGTTACCCCGAGTTTGATATCAGTGTACAGAGGTGGGGGTAAACTATTAATCCCTGCCAAAAGGGATTTGTGTTGC